GCATATATTAAGAAATTCACAGATTCATAGAAAGATAGTGTGTTACCTGGTAGTGTAGTGCCAAGAGTTGCAGTGTCAATGTCAGAAGGAAGTATTGAGGAATTATATCTGTAGAAAAGGGGTAGAAAAAAAGGAGGAAATGAGCTACAGAGCTGAAAAGCTATCTTGAAAAACAGGGTTTCTGGAATGTTTGCCAGATTCATACACTAAAATATGAAATACTTTGTTTTCACACAACATCTAAGAGACAATAAAAGATTGGGTATCCTAGCCACTGTCTATATGGGGCAGATAGAAAGGTCTTGGGAGACCTGTTAAGTAACCCATGTGAGCAAAGTGATATTTCCATGTTCAGTAGATGCTGACTTGTAAACTATCTGACAGTGTCTCATATCTCTCAGGCTTTGATCTTTGTGCTTGCATTCCTTGGTCTGCACTTCTGTTGTGGCCATTATGAAGGGATCCAATTCTCCATGTTAAATATTCATTTTATATTATAGATAATTCAATAGGAGCTGCTGGAGTTCTCTTAAGGGTCACGGGAGGACATACACTAGCATCCTCCCATGACCCAAAGCTCAGTATATCGCGAGCTACAGCTTGCGGTATACTGAGACCGCCGCAGCTGGGACGGATCCCGACAATGCTGTCGAGATCCATCCAGCTGGCTGATTGACAGCTGGCTCTGCCTATCTAGAGGCAGAGCCAGCTGTACCAGCCCTTTCCCCCACCCGTTCCTCCAGTCAGCGCTGGAGGATCGGAGCGGGGAGGGGGGAATCCCTGCAGGGAGCCGTGACTGACAGTCAGTGCTCTCTGCAGGGACATGATCGAGAAGTGAGTAAGCGACGGTATGTGTTCGCTCACTTTCCGATCTATTGAGCCGACGTGTGACAGTTTCATTGTCACACATCGGCTCGAACTATGAGGATGAGTGATTTTCACTCACCTCATAGTTCTCTTTTAAATTGTCATTAACTTCCTACACCAAGGAAATCAGGATAGCAATAAAAGCCTAACAGAGCCTCTACCCCTTCTCCAGCCTATCCAAAACTGAAAAAAAAACCTTTGGGATGGAGAAAAACTTTAGGTTAACCCAAGTGGCCAAGTAAACAGAGGAATACATTTGTTTCTAGTTACACAGCTATATCATTATATATCCTACTGAATACACTGACTATATTCAACTAATTTTATGCAAACTGTTCTCAGAGTTTGGCCTGGATTTCTGCTGTACCAACAGAGGAGGCACACAGATAGGCTTGCCACCTTTTCTTCAAGTGAAACCCGAACACTCTAGCTAATAGATAATACTCTAGATAATACTCTAGATCAGTGGTTCTCAACCCGTGTAACCTCGGGACCCACATGTTTCCTCGGTCATAAGGCGTGACCCAATGCAAGCAAAGAGCATTGGGTATCACAGATAAAACATCTTTAAATTAATAAAATATAAATAAGAATGCTCTAAAATGATGACGTGTTAAGGACATATCATCAGCCAATATCTGGATATTAGGTCTCAAATACAGGTACAGGTATTTCTTTTCAAGAAAGTCGGCAGTAGGAGAGATCGAAAGCAAAGATAGCAATGCTGCAGTGGAAACTTAACAGACTGGGGAATGATACATCACAACATCCTGAGAGAAAAGTACCTCCCCTGAGAGGTTTCAGGGACCCTGGCCCTTTATTAGAGAAAGACACAGGTAAGTAAGTAGTTGTGGAGGTGTTGGGTTGTTTAGTTAGGGCTAGGTAGGGTGAGTAAGTGCACTGTCTCTGAAAATATGCTTTAAGATAGACCTGGACTAAGCATTAATTCTATGTATTATTCTATGTAAAAACATGTATGTGATGCAAGACTTAAGTAAAAAAAGAGACAGAAACAAATGAGTTAGGTTTCCTTGTTTGCTAGTTTCAAACAGATCAAAACGGCTGCCATTGTTGATTTTTGTTTGTATTTGGTACAGACATATATTAGGGAGTCTATTTATAAACAATTTGCAGGACCCTTTGCCCTGCGAATATCTGTGAACATTCGTTTTTTGACGAATAATGCCCAATATTTCACAGTTCCAATTTGGCATTGCCATATTACATTATGAGAAAAAACAGTCAATTAGATAAGGGCACTACTACGGTATTAGAGTGATGATGGGATATAATTTGTAAGTGTTAATAATAGTGGTAGTGGAAAGGACACCAATAATAATAAAAAAAATAATGTGATATTGATCAACAGTGTGCGGTCTCCTGCAACAGAGAGAGGAACCCTGTACCTAGAAAAAAGAAAATACACAAAGAAAGGAGCGCTACCACTAAAGAAGCTATTGAAAGTGATGTGAGTAATGAAGGTAGATGGAGGACTAACTGTTAGATGAAGGCACAGAGGATCGTGAAAGACGAGGCAATATAGCGGGGGTCACAGCGAGGTGTCAAAAAGTAGACAGTCCGTCTTATGTGGCAGGGTAAAATATCTCTGGCTGGCAATCGCCTGTGATCCCCGATTCTAGTGCATAAAGGGCGTAAGGTGCGGCCAACATAAATCATGCCACAAGGGCAAGTGAGCCCATAAACAACATGGTCATGGGCTCAGGTGATGAACTGTTTGGTATAGTAGGGATTTTGGAGGTGATCATAGAACCTAGTCTGACCATAAATTGACACGTGAGGAATATAAGTTTTCTACACTGAAAGGTCACAACCCTATTGTCAAATAAAAGCTTTTTGGGTAATCGTGGGAGCTTGGAATAATCTACTGGGTCCTACCATATTCTTAATATTCTTCGTTTTCCAAAATTGATGGAAGGTTTAGATGAAAATTTGGGACCTAGTTTGGGGTCTCGTTGTAAAAAAAAGCCAATTGTTTTGTATCACCCTCTGGAAAGCTTTAAAACTATTGTTGAACGTTGTGATAAATCTTATTTTGTTTTCTTCGATTACAGAAGATTTTTCTTTAGAGGGTATGAGTCGGTCTGGTTCTAAGTAAGTGGAGTATTCCTCAGTGATAAGGTCTTCTGGATATTCTTTTTCTACGAACTTCTTTAGAAGAAGATGGCTGGATGTAGTGTAGTCTGCGTTTAGAGTACAATTTATTTTTAGTCTGCAGAATTGACTTTTTGGAATATTATTTTTCCATCTGGGATGGTGACAGCTGTTGTAATGGAGGTAAGAGTTGCCCCCCGTGGGTTTGACATGATTGCTAGTAGTGATGTGATTATCTATGAAGGAGAGTTCTAAATCTAAAAAAAACAATTTTGTGTTGTTGACCTCATAAGTAAAGGACAGTCCAAAATTGTTGTTATTACAATGGGAGAGGAAATTGGACACACTATCAGGAGGGCCATCCCAGATGATTAAAATATCAACCATATATCTCTCATAGAACACTAACTGCTTGGCAAAGGGGTTGTTTTTCCAAATGCGTAGGGCCTCCCAGTGACCCATGGTAAGATTAGCATAACTGGGGGCATAGTTGGCACCCATCGCTGTCCCTTGAGTGTGTAGATAAAATTTACCCAGAAAAGAAAAATAATTATGTGTAAGAGTGAATTCAGTGCAGTTCATGATGAACTGCGCTTGTATATAATTGATCGAAGAATTGCATAGAAAAAATTGTAGGGCATTGAGGCCAACTGAATGGGGAATGGATGTATAGAGAGAAGTGACATCCAGGGAGACCCAACAATAAGAGGGGTCCCATTTGTAGGTAGATTAGATGTGAATCAGATGACCAGAATCTTTATTGTATGAAGGAAGTGTAGACACAATTGGTTGGAGGAATTGGTTAAAGTACATAGAAAGACCACTGGTGAGACTGTTCGTACTAGCAATGATGGGACATCCAGGGGGGTTGCTACTATCTTTATGAATTTTGGGTAAGTGGTAAAAGTATGGGGTACTGGGACGGACTGTCTACTTTTTGACACCTCGCTGTGACCCCAGCTATATTGCCGCCGAGTGGCAATATATATTCACAGAGAAGTGCCGGTCGGCACGGACGCCGCATATCCAGTCGCCGCGGTTCAGCCTGGCCAGCTGAGTGCGTGTAGAGCTGGATCCATCTATCATCTTGTGATAGTGTCAACCCTATGAGAGCCTATTCTCCACTATAATTTCTCACTACTGTGACATTTCAGGACTTCCCTTTGGAGACCAACACTCCCCTGATTCTAGTATCATTCCATCCAGACCTCATCCTTCACGACCCTTGGTGCCTCCATTTAACAATGAGTCCTCCATCTACCTTCATTACTCACATCATTTTCAATAGCTTCTTCAGTGGTAGCGCTCCTTTCTTTGTGTATTTTGTTCATATTACATTATGGCCACTAGATCAGGGGTGCCCATAAGTTCGATCAAGATCTACCATTCGATCACGTAGCGATCACTGGTAGATCGCAATGTTCTGGGGCTTCTCCTCTGGATCCCCGCTGCTCTGTGAATATGTGTGTTGGGGTGACATATGTGCGTTGAGGTATTTTTTTTAATGAATATGTGTGTTGGGGTGACATGCTGACTTGCAAATAGCGCAGGTATTTTTTTTTAAAATGTGTGTTGTGTTGCTTGCACTTAGATGTGGATAGTCGTTGAATATGTGTTGCCAGAAATAGTGCATGTGCATTTTTTTGCGCGCTCTGCCGAAAGAAAAAAAGCATGTTACTGTTCGTTTATTAATAGAAAAGTGTGAATGGCCTTTGGAGATAATGATGAAACAGCCATGAAGGGATTGTGTTTCCTGCACCACAACATATGTCTATGACTTCATTTCACCTCATCTGTGTATACTGCTGTATTACAATTGGCACGGGACTATTTTCCAGGTGTAACACCAGGCGGAAGGATATTCGCACTTGACGAAGCGAACAAGCTTCTCTACAGCAACAATATGACGTTGCTAGGTCGCGCCCACATGAGTGCCCCGCCTTCGTATGTAAATAAGCTTTTTTTCATCCAATCGAGCCTTTGTTTTCTTTTATCACCCCGCCTCAGGAAGTCGCTTTTTTTCCCTGCGAACTGGGGTAGGGGGTGGGTTTGGGAACACGCCGGTTGTGTGTACGGTGCCGGGCTCCGTGGAGGGCTATGACGGTCCGGGGTGGTGCGACGGTGCGGGCTCTCTATTCCTGCGAGCATTGGGAGATTGTCAAGCCGTCCGTCAGCGAGCTCTCTCGGGAGGTCCGCACCAACATACTGTGCACTGTAAAAGGATGCGGTAAAGTGCTCCCCAACCCCCCCGCGCTCAACATGCACTTGGTCAAGTCCCATGGAGTGCAGGTGAGGGGAACGTGGGGGATACCACTAGGGAGTGTGCTAGAGGGGTATCATAATTTCTATAAGGTGTCCTTGTGTAAAGGAGGGATGTGTTGTGATCTGAATGCTGTGCATCAATGAGGGATATGGAAGCATGTGTTGGGTGTTCTGGTTGCATAGTGACTATTACTGTCTAAAAGTGCAGTGCTGTATGGCTGCCATTCCTGTGATGGTGCAGGGTGTATGTCTCCAATATAAAGCCGACTATAGGTGTGTAGGCCATTGTCTGGTGGTCATTTGTAGGAGATCAGACCCAGGTCTGACAGATGTTGGGGGTTAGGTCCTTTCAGAGGGCTTAATTAGAGGATGAGCTCACCTTTTCAGAGAACTGAACCCCACCAGTCCCCCCATCCTTGTTGCACTTAGGCTACCATAATCATGATTCTCCACCAGCCGGTGTATCATCCCTGGCACATTAAAACTTCCCTGCACTGCCCTGTTGCAACATGGTACATTCATTGGTGAGTGGTCATTGGCTAGTGTGGGTGATTCTTCTTCTTTTTTTCTTGGATGCCACCCTGGAAGAAAGATTAGATTCTCATTGGGCAAGGCAGGCATGTGATGTGGCTGCACTGACCAATGACCACTCACCATTGTAAGTACTGTGTTGCTATACATTACCACCCTTGTCCAGGCAATACTTCTCCATCTGATGACTCCGTACAGGGTATAGGTACCCCCTTCCTACATGGCTAACTAGTTCTGAAATTTACACAGCTCTGTCATGTCTAGAAGGTCAGAAGACCTGATCCCATTTTTCTGCAATTTTGCTTTCACTTGCATATTCCCTGGGACTGGACAGTGAAAGCAGAAGCAGCAGACTGATAACCTCATCCCTCTACGCTCTCCTATCAGCTTGCATTGCAGCATGCCTGATTTGCTTGTTGTGCGGCTTCTCGCTCCCCTTCTCTGAGCTTTTCTGTACAGTGAGGCAAGTGGCTGTTACCAGGTCAATTTCAGACACTGACACTGGTTGTTAAAAAAAATATATATATATTGTATATACTGTATGATGATCTAATGATGCATTAATTACAGAGCTGTATATATGATGATCTACTGATGTATTGATTACAGAGCTGTATATATGATGATCTACTGATGTATTGATTACAGAGCTGTATATATGATGGACCTAGTGATGTATTGATTACAGAGCTGTATATATGATGGACCTAGTGATGTATTGATTACAGAGCTGTATATATGATGGATTTAGGGATGTATTGATTACAGAGTTGCATATATGATGGATCTAATGATACATTGATTACAGAGCTGTATATATGATGATCTACTGATGTATTGATTACAGAGCTGTATATATGATGGATCTAGTGATGTATTGATCACAGAGCTGCATTAATTTGTGACTTTTATACCTTCCTAGGACCCGCTACTTCCAAAGAACTGCAAAGTAGGTCAGACCCAGCCCCTGAACTGTCATCCACACTGCACAATTAATGTGACCTTGTCATCACAAGGTCCAGCCCTGTAAAAAAAACAGGCTTCATACTTAAAGGAGAACTATGGGGTCAGGGCTTTTCCCCATAGTTCTCCTTAGGGTAACGGGAGGACACAAACTAGCGTCCTCCCGTCATCCCAAGCTCAGTATACCGCGAGCTACAGCTCGCAGTATACTGAGACGCCACAGTATACCGCAAGCTACTGCTCGCGGTATACTAAGATGCCGCAGCTGATGCAGATCCCGACAATTATGTCTGGATCCGCCCAGCTGCGTGAGTGACAGCTGGCTCTGCCTATCTAGAGGCAGACCAGTGGCCTGGGTTTTGAAACATCTCCACACTTCTGAGTACGTGAGTACCTGATCCTCCTGCCGCATGCAGTGGCTTCACCTCCGGCTTGTACGTCCCTACAGGACATAGAAGTCGGCAGAAAGAACAATTGTGTGTGCAGGTTAAGCAGTTATTCAACCTGTTTTAAAGGTTGATAACCCTCAGTGGCCGAAGAGCAGTGTGGCGATGTTTCATGACACAGACTGCCTGATAGGTAAGTATTGGGACTCTTCTTTTACAGGACAGGAGTTTTTTGCAAGCACTTTTAAATAAATTGAAATTCTGACCTACTTTAACATGCACTTCCCCAATACTTGCCAACCAATGACTGTTGTACCGATTGGCCAACTAATCGATTATGGAAATAATTGTTAGTTGCAGCCCTAATTTCCACATTGACCGCAAAGTGCTACTGCATGAAGGATTAAAGGAGAACTATGGGGTTAAGTCTTTTCCCCATAGTTCTCAGGGTAACGGAAGGACACAAACTAGCGTCCTCCCGTCACCCTAGGCTCAGTATACCGCGAGCTGTAGCTCGCGGTATACTGAGTAGCCGCAGCTGAAGCGGATCCCAACAATTGTGCCGGGATCCGCCCAGCTGCGTGACTGACAGCAGAGCCAGCTGTACCCTCCCCCGTCCCTTCCGCCAGTCAGCGCTGGCAGATCGGAGGGCGAATCCAGCCCCTCCCCTGTCACGGCAGAGAGCCGTGACCGGATCGAGAGGTGAGCGAACGCCGGTATATGTTCGCTCACCTCCCGATCTACTGAGCCGACCTGTGACAGCCTCATTGTCACAGGTCGGCTAGAACTATGAGGTGAGTGAAAAGCACTCACCTCATAGTTCTCTTTTAAGGTGAAGGTGAACTTTTTTTTTTTTATTATTTAGACTTGGATAGAGTGGGGAGGGTTTAGAACATTGGTGTCTGTGTCCCCATTAGGGAGATTCACCCCCCCCTATTTGTCATGGTGATTGTGATCACTGAAAGTGAAAGAAAATCCCACATATTTGGTTGTCCCCCGAACATTAGGGCCCCGTTCACACTGAGCGATTTATCGTGCGGTAATTCCCACGATATCGCGGCTATTTACTGCGCGATATCGCTCTCCAATGCATGGCAATGGGGCAAAGGGTCGTGCGTCGCTACAGTAGGACCCTTTTTTGGAGCGGATTTTGCCGCGATTCAATGCTTTTCAATGCAAGCATTTGCGCGATATTGCGCAAAATGCAAATCGTGCGACAAACGCGCGATTTGCGAATCGCCAAGTGTGAATGGGGCCTTATAGATGAGAAATCTTCCAATGGCGGCACTAGTTCTGCCGACCCTGTTGACCACCAGGGATTTCCTCTCTTCTCATTGTGGCTATTGGATAGGAAGTGAAGGGAAATCTCACCAATGGGGTACAGATGACAACAACAACAAAACTGACAGGGGTTAGAACTCTTCCTTACAAAAAAAAAAAAGGTTTTGGCTTTAGTTCTATTTAAGTTTAAAGCACAGTCCAGCAAAGCCTGCATCACCTCCCTGTTCCCCTCTGTAGAGAAGGAAATGAAGATGGCCACCGGCATACTATGCATTCTAGACTCTGCTAGTGGCCTGCAGTCTGTCTCTGGTTCCAGTACTTTCAACAAGTGATGTCAAAACTGCTGATTTGTGTACTTGTTTCAGGTTAAACAAAACATCGGCATGACGGGTAGTGAAAGAAAATCATCTCAAGGCAGGACAGGCAGCAAAAATAACCTGATGGTGAGCCTTCCCTACTCTATCCAATAGAAAATGTTTTGCCTTTACATACACTATAAAGGATAAGTTCACCTTTTGCAAAAATGTAAAGAAATGCATATTTAATAATATTTTAAAAAAGATACTTACATTTTTGCATTCAAGCCTGGAAAGCATTGCAACTGTGATCAGTTGATCAGGGCTGCAGAGCTCAGGCTTCAGCACATTCTCTCCCAGGCAGAGCTCTGTACTGAGGTACGGCGTTTCAGTTAGGAGAGATGGGGGGGAAGGACGGCTGGACTTCAAACAGCATTAAAATCACCTCATACAGCGTCCAGCCGTCCTCTCTCTCTGGTTACATGCTGTAGAGCTGTCCTTATTCCCATCCAGCCGTCCTTCCCCATCTCTCCTAACTGAAACTCTGTACTTCAGTACGGAGCTCTGCCTGTATGAGAATGTACTGAAGCCTGAGCTCTGCAGCCCTGATCGAGTGATCACCATTGCAATGCTTTCCAGGCTTGAATGCACAAAATAAAAGAAAAGCATTTTTTAATATTAAATATGCATTCCTTTAATTTTTGCAAAAGGTGGACTTAGCCTTTAAACACGTCCTACTGTTGCGGTATTCTTGCTGCTCTCTGGTCTCTTTTACATATTGAACGTTATGGAAGTCACCTGAGCAGGTTGTGTTTAAGCAGATCAGCCTTTCTACCCTCTACTTTGACATAAACTTGTTAGGTCATCACAGGCCGCCTAGCGAGTTTATGGTGCACAATGTGTGGATCCTGCCTGCACTGCCAATAGAAGCCATAGTCTTCTAACAACCTCCCAGCAAACATCTAGAGCAGGGGTAGCCAAACTCCGGCCCTCCAGCTGTGGTGAAACTACAAATCCCATGATGCATCTCTCTCCAAGAGCCGTGGCTGTGAGAATCTTGCAATGCCTCATGGGATTTGTAGTTCCACCACAGCTGGAGGGCCGGAGATTGGCTACCCCTGATCTAGAGGTACTTCAAGATACCTTGTGGGCTATTTGGGAGCCCCGAAACTTTGGACTCTCTATTATGCAAATTTTGACTTTATGCGCCAAAGTCAAGCTTAGGTCCACCACCTCCCTTTCAAGTCTTCATCACAGTTGTGGAACTATACTAAGCCGTAGGAGGGGCTGTGCCTGTGATTATCAGGAGCTGAAGTTGCAATATTTATAGTAGTGCTCTGGCTGTTAGGGCTCCACATGTGATATTCAGGGTATCTTAATGTGTAGACACCTTGAGATTCACTTTTCTCGGGTATCAATGTGCTTTTGAGCAGGGCTGGATAAGGAGCCAGGTAGCTTTTTGAGGTTTTCTCTAGTTGTCAGTGGAGCTTGCTCCTAAAAAAAAAAAAAATAATGATATTTCCGGACTCTGGATTAGATGGCCTGGGTTAATTATTCCATAATAATTTGT